TCCCTTTGGAGAGGTCCAGCCGGTGAGGCGTGCGGTTCCGGCGGGTGCGGGTCGCCTCGTCTGTGGCACCACCTGCCCCGAATCTACCCAGTGACTCATGCATCCTGACCACTGTTTTGGTTACCAAACGGGGCACTTTTTATCAAGGGGGACTAGTAAACATGGTTACCACAATTTGCTCAAAATATATAATTCAGTTCTGAATTCAATCGTTTTCAAAATAGATATAGATAGTACTTGAACTTATATTAGTTTGCAAAAAAAGTGCAAGAAGGAGAACTTGAAGCAGCTACCTTTTAAAGGTGGAAATAGGTTGTTACCACCACGCCAGAACTATTTGTGTTGAAATAATTGAGATGATGTCGTACTTTGCTGTACATTGAGCGTTTAAATTCAAAATATTCAAAATTTTGCTTTTTTTTGCTTGGAATGCCCATTTACCAAAACCCTGAGGCTGACGGTGCATAGATCAATGGAGCAGTGGCTAGGGATTCTCGATCCATCGCGGTGGGGACATATCTGCACTAACATCATTCACATGTCCATGTTCGAGGAGAGGGTGAGGTTCTCCGAAAAGGATTGGTGCTCGGTGGCCGTGTTCATCTATTGGGCCATGGACGAGGTCGAGTCCGCGGATCCGTGGCATGCGGCGATTTGGAGAGCATACAAGGCAAGACGTCCATCGTGTCTCAACCTTGCTCGTCGCAGCTGGGTTCTCTCGCCAATCCTCCAACATGAGCTCCCGCCGAGGGGTGACACCCCCTCTCAAAGTGGCAACTCAAGCCGCTCCTGATGGGCGTGCTTCACGGAAGGTTTGTGCCAAGGAGCCATGGGCACATCACATCAGTGTCGAACCATGTCGTTGTGATTTTGAGCCACCTCCATGTCCTAGGGATCATGGTGGAATCCAGTTGGTTCACAATTTGCCCGCTAATTTTTCATATCTATCATTGGGCTGTCTCAGATTCCCGTGATCGATCTCCTGAGGTTTCTGCTTCGATTGATTGTTTCCTCTTTCAGTATTCATACTATTGATGTTATTCTGTTTTCGTCTCTGCTGATCTCATCGACGGGGATAGTTTTTCCACCGCCTTCAGTTCAAATAAATATGTGGTTTGTCATATTTACCCTTCGATGGGTTCAACCATATCCTCCACGTCCATCAGGGGGCGTGTGGTTAAGCAGGTTTTTGTTGCCTGCCTTCCAAGTAAGGGATCGATGACCTAGATGCGGCGGCGCGCATGCAATTGGTACAAAACACTCAACCTCTGTAACAACATGTCGACATTCAGATGTTGGAATGCACACAACTAAAAGAAGAAGAAAAACAATGATGTCAAAATTTCTTGGAAATACCATAACAATGATGTCAAAATTCCTACTGCTTTTAACAGCCGAGCACGGAGGGTCCACGATTTGTTGCTTGGATCATTGTTGAGTCAGCTTGATCTTGACAAACAAATTGTTTGGTTTATGAATACCGTGAACATTGGCACTTGGCAGTTTCACACTCCACGTTCCAAAGAATCATCAAACAACATAATTTAGCAAATTATCGCATGTGAATCTTTTTGATAACCTCTACGCAAAAAAAAGGATAACCTATATGCAAACACATGGAAACATGAACTCCTAGTAAACGATTAAAAAACACATCGGAGAGCAACGCATTTGTATGATTTTTCTTTTGAGGGGCAAACACATTTGTATCTTTTTTGTTTTGAGGAATGCCCACACTTCATTAATTCAAAGCAAAATTCAAAGGGATACAACAGGGGTCATGTGGAGTTAACAGCCACAAAGTGGCGACCCTGAGGGAGCGATACCGAAAATTTTACAAGATTGTGTGCCTCCTGGTTAGAAGCTCAGCCCTAGAATATAAAATTACAACTCTCAAAAAATGGCTCTTCTATTTTCTATCTCCTTCACAATTGTGATATGATTGCCTCTCTACCCATTTTTGGTGTATTTGACACATTTGTATCTTGTTTGGGTACAGAACTTCATCGGCGATGAATCAAACCGGGAATTTTTTGCATAGCATGTGGCCGTGAAGAAAATGTTCTTCATCGTTTCTGGAAGTGTCCATACGCTAAGTTTTACTGGGAACTTGTGCGTGCGAGGAAAGGAATTACTGCTGAATTTAGGCCGCCGGATTTTGTTGGGTCGCAGCAGCAACTTGCTGGCTGGTTACTAGATTGGATTGGCAAGAGTAAGGAACCTGAAAGGGCCATCATGATTATGAGTTTATATCATATGTGGCTGGTCCGGAATGTTGCACGAGACACATATATCTGTCTTTGAACGAACACGTGAGTTGGTTGATCGAGTTTTCAGGCTTAGACCGGGGTGTACAACTTGCGACTGAAATTGGTGCCACAAAGTTTATTCTCGAAACTGATAATCAAGCTGTCGCAAGGACTCTAAATTCTGGAGAAATGGATGGACCCAGATTTGGTCCTCTCGTACAGGAGATCAAGGAGATGTTGTCCGGTGTCGCGGAAACTCGTGTGCTATGGGAGGACTCGTGGGCCACCTTTCTTGTGGTCGGAGGTTTAGGTGGGCCCCAGCCCAAACATGCATGGAAACCTTTGGACCTACTCCGATCCCTTAGTTTCGCTTCAAAAAACAGAAAAAAAGACTCCTAGTAAGAGAAAATCCATCTCGTCGCTCGATCCTCTTCGCCGTCGCCCCCCATCCCCTTCCGTTTGGTCCCCTCGGCGTCGCCGATCCCAACCTGGCCGGCGAGTGACGACTGCCACGCCGAAGCCGAGAAGCCCCTTCGGTCAGTAACTTTGTTTCCCGAATTTCCTCCTTGTTGATGTTCGCATCTGAGATGAGTCCCGATCTTTAATTTCTTCTTCAGGATTGAGATAGATCGTCTCAGCTGTTCCCCGGTCTAAGCCTCCAAGGCGAGATGTCGTCGACGACGACCACCAAGAGGGCGAGGGTCATTGTAGCCATAGGATCGCTTGGCGCGTCGGTGCTGCCGGACGAGGTGACGACAGATGTGCTCCTGCGGCTGCCCGTCAAATCCATCCTGCGCTTCCGCGCCGTGTGCCGCTCCTGGGCCGCGGCGCTCTCATCGGAGGAGTTCTGCAGCCTCCACACGGCCAAGGCTGAGGCGGAGGCCAAGGCGGCGCCGCAACCTAAGCTCATATTCATCTCGCCGTCAGCAGCATACGACTCCACCAGGGTGTACTTGGGCTCGTCATCAGACTCCAACAATGGCCCGCTATTTACTCTCGACGACGTGCGCGGCGACTTTGCGGTCTTATCGCCTTCGCCGTGCCGCGGCCTCACTCTCCTGCACGATGCGGTGGTGCCAGCCTATTACGTGTTCAACGCGGCGACACGGGCGGTCACCCGGCTGCCGCCTTGCCAGCACGCCATCTTCTCGACTGCCGGCCTCGGGTTTGACGCCAGCACCAAGGAGTACAAGGTCGTGAGGCTAAGGGTGACCTGTGGGAAGCTAGACGAGAAGCGGAAGATCGGGTGCGAGGTGTATGTCCTCGGCGGCGAGCATGGAGATCGCTGGAGGCCACCTGTTGGAGGCGTGCCATTCAGGTTCCGCCGCTTTATTCAGACTGCCATTATAACAGCAACATGGACCCAAGGTAAGTTGCCGCCGATATTTGCGGATGGATTTCTGCCACCGATATTCGCAGACGGATTTCTGCATTGGCTTATTATGCCAAGAGCTGCCGTATTATCATTTTCTCTCAAAGATGAGACCTTCGTATGCGTCCGGTCGCCACCTTTTGAGGAACCACGACCCGAGGTGCACTTGGTGGACCTCGCTGGCCGCTTGTGTATGGTCCGGGACCTTCGTGCTCAAGACAGTGGTATGATGGAGATCTGGAACTACAGCTCTGATGATTGGTCTTTGCTGCATAGCATTGATTTGTCGCGGCATCTTGAAGGAGATTCTTTGCTAGGTCCGGTGATTATCAGAGCTATCGGTTGTGTTGGCGACTGTGGACCGACGGAGAAGGTGATCTTGGCCACTTCCAAAGGCAAGGTGATCACATATGACCTACTGTCTGGAACTCTGGACACCATTCTTGCAATACCGGAGACTTCATTTTATAAGACCGACGATGAGCAGTATGCTCCTAGATTAAGTTTATTCAAAGAGAGTCTTGCTCCGGTACACAAAACCGACGAAGAGATGGCGTTATCATCTCCCCTAGCTAAAGTTATCAAGGAGATCCTACTCCGACTCCCAGGTGATTTTGCCACACAGTTCAAACTTGTAAGCAAGCAGTGGCTTAGTTTGATCGAGAGTGGAAGTTTCATTCGCTCTTACCATGCGCATAACAACATGGATTGGGAGCCAAAAGTCATGCTTGTTGGGAAGGGGCCAGGAGGACTGGGTTTCAGCTTTGCTCCCTCGAAGAAATTGCTTCGTGATGGTCCTAGCCAAGGTGCCTGGCTTGATACAAAGGTGGTTTGCTCTAAGCCTTGCCATGGTATGAACCTAATAAGTACTGAGACCGAGGACTATTTGTACAATCCTTCCACAGGTTATCACCATAACTACCATGCAGTAGTGTGGCCACACCAAGTGCGCCGCCGTGTACTCGCAATGAAGCGTGGCAATGTATGTACACTAGAAGACCACGCTTTCGCAGTTGGCAACAAGAATGTTGGTCTGGGGTTCAATTTGTTGAAACAGGAGCATGTTGTCGTAGAGATTTTCTATCACTTGAAGGACTTCGAATCTCGGCAGTATTTCTTGACATGCTCAGTCATTGGACTCACGTCGATCCAACACAACCTTGAACCGCATCTGCCTATAAATAGCATGCCACCTGCCTATGTAGCAGGAGTTTTATACTGGATGAGTGAACCAAGGTTGATGCAGATTCATAAGAGGGTCATTGTATCATTTGACGTCACAAAAATGATGTTTGATCTCGTCCCTTGCCCTTCACCCATCGCAATGTGGAGTGACACGAGTCCTTGCCAAGCATTTGTGGTCGAGCTTGAGGGAATGTTATGTGCGGTCCTTGCAGATCCGGTCACAGAAGAATTAGATATTTGGAAGCTGGAGCATGGAATCTGGAACAGAGCGTACAAAGTCTATTTGGAAGGTTGGTCAGGCTATTCCCTTGCAGCAAACATTGTGGTGCCGTTGATTGTCGACCCCAGAGACGGGAGAATATTGGTCAACACGGGAAGAAAACTAGGTCTTTATGATCCGGCAAGGCGCATGATTGAGGACTTGTATGATCTTGATGGGGTGCTGCAGGTCGCATCTCGAGGGCAATCTTCACGCCTTGGAATGAATCAAGATGGACACATTACGGAAGGCGAACAATCTTTCAAAAAGTGTGTGGTTTCTTTGCATGGAGAAAATCCACTGGACAGTAAAATCTTGCCGTTGGTCCCTTTGTTATATGAGGAGAGTCTGGCAAGTTATCCTCCTACGCAGAGTTCATGGGGTTTGCAGCAGTTAAATCTTCGTTAGTTAAATATACTCTAGCAATTTGATACAACTTCTTTTTTGTGCACATTAGGTTGTTTGTCCAAACTATAATGCAATGCTCCCTTAGTTTGTTTGAATATAGTATTTATTAGTTAGTTTGAATATACACCAAGAGCACGAGACTTACACCGATTGCCACTAGTTAAATATAGTCTAGCAGTTATGTGCTTTCTGTGTTTGTGTTGTAATACTTTTCTTGTAATGATAGTATGAGCGACAGGTGAAAACGGGATTTTAGTGAAAATCTTAAAACTCGCGGAGGACTGTGGCGGAGGACGGACAAAAGTTGAGGTAGGGCTGGCTTTAGCCACTCGCCACCAGCAAGGCCGATGCGCCGCCTTCCACCCTGCTCCACCGGACGGATCAAGATAGGTCGGCCGCCAACCCTTGCTCTACTGGGTCCTCCGTCACTGGGGAACGGCACATATCTGCACTCGGGTTCAGACTGTCATTCTGATACAATGCAAACTTCGGGGAAAAAAAACCGTTAGGGACAGAAAACAAATGAGATGACAAGCTATCTTGCTACCTGACTACAACCAGCTATCAGCCAGATGCAACAACAATCAGCAACAAACCCATTGGAGCATCAGAAGCAATGAATTTGAAAGACAATGATAATGCTTGGTAGAACATTAACTTAATTAACTACAAGGTGTTTGGTAAATACTTCAAGTTGCAAGGAACAGGTTCGGGCTACATAAGAAGACATCTCTCAGAAGTACAAAATTCAGAAATGTAGAAAATTAGTAATCCAAGTAAAATACCGGCACAAGCCAGTAATGAATGAACTTCAAGCTCCCAGTAGCTTTGAATTTAATCTTGTGCTACCCAAAATAATAACACGCGGTTGCCTTGAATCGAAATAAAAGAACCTGCGGGTAAACAACTAATAAACATGGAAAAAACACTTAGAATGGGCATACAAATTATGAAATACTTTTTTCTTTGGGGAATATAGTCTACTACTACTCTCAAATATGATTTCTTTGTACAGACAAATTCCAATTTACAGAGCAATATAGTCTACTGCCGGCCACTGTTGTACATGCTGCAGTATACTGACGGAGCGGCAAACAGAAAAACCAATTCAGATGCTTCAATCAAAAGTATTGATTGAAGGAGGAGAATTATGACGTTGAGGTTACCATGATTCACCTACTGACTCTACTACCACCCTTGTGGGCTGTGGATCTGATGGTCCACGAGGGCGTTCCCAGATTTTCACTGTGATCTGGATTTCACATGGTTTTCAGATCCACAGTGCAAAAAAGGAAGAAAATTATCTTGTTTTGGTGCGTGAATCGTTTTCTCGATAGAAGAAGAGGAAGAAGAAGAAGAAGAGGAGCAGGTTAAAAAAAGAGAGAAATAAAACATGTCCGATGCAAAACACGTCCTCTCGCTCGATCCTCTTCGCCATCGGCCCATCGCCCCATCGCGCTCCTTCATCAGTTCGTCCCAAACCAGGCCCGCGAGTGGCGAGTTAGAGCAACTCTAACAGACCCTGCATAACGCGCGAACCCGCATAATTCCGATGAGTATACGGGCTCGGCTCAATTTTCTGGCCAGAGCAGAACTCATCCAGCCCGTAAATGTTTTTGTTGCAGCCCGCAAACGTTACCCCCGAAGCAGTATAACTGCGAGTTTGCGGGGCAGATGCGGGTCGAAACCCTATCCCCCTGCCGCCGCGTTCTTTCCCGATTCCCCACCACGCCGCTCGATTTCTCGCCACCGGCAAGCCTGCGAAAGCCACGGACGGCTCTGGGGATGAGGCGGAGCGCCGCCGCCGCGCCAGATCTGACGCCGCACGCAAGCGGGGGCGCATCGATGGCTGAAGCGCGGTAGCCGGCCGCCACCGGCGTTCGACAAACGCGAGCTTGAGGACTTCGACCGCGAGCTCGCTCGCCGCCGCCACGCCTCCTCCGACAACTGGTCCGCGGGGAGCTCATCTGCCGGCGCATCGAGCTCGCGGCTCATTCCGGTGAAGAGCAAGCCGGAGGAGGAGCTCTCGCCTCGCGCCGTGCCTAATGCGCCGCCACGCCGAGGCGTCATCGGGCCCGAGGACTACCTCCCCCGGGGCAGGAGGAGCTCCTCGAGCGCGTCATCCTCGAGCGGTTGGCGAGGGAGCAGGAGGAGATGGAAGAGCGCATCCGGCGCGAGCTCGAGTACGAGTGGCTCTTCCTCCAGACGGACGTCGCCGCGTCACAGGCGCACGCATCCAAGGAGGCTGGCATGCGAGTGATGAAGGCGGAGCAGGCGAAACTCTACATCGACCTCGACTCCTCCAACACCGATTGATCGCCGCCGCTGGACAGCTACCACACGAGGTCGGATGAGCTCAATTTTGTGTAGTGGTATGGTAGTGTAGGCCTGGTCTAGCTCCGGCGAACTTATATGTAATATATGCATGCTGTCTACGAACTTATGTATAGAAGAACTAACTATACGAAGAACTATCTATGCGAGTGAGCTCCGGTGAGCTTTTGCTTAAATTTTTCGCGTGAAACAAGTTTTTTAAAATTTTACGTGTTTGGATACAGTTTTTGTTATGTCGCCATGATTTTGAGCCTAAATAAGCGTCCCCGTGCAAACTGCAAACACAGTTTACAGTTAGGCGAAATGCAGAGTCTGCTAGAGATGCTCTCAAAAGCCGAAAGATCGTGACCCGTTTTCGGTCGGTAACGAGTTTTTTTTTTTTTGGAATCGGTCAGTAATGAGTTTTTTCTAGCTATATAAGCTTTCCCGGATTACCTCGCTGTTATATTCGTTTGTTTCACATCCAAAAGAAAAAATAACAGATCTTGTTTCACATCCGTCTAACCCTAAAGGCGGATGCATGTCGTCTAGGACGACGACCAGCAAGAGGAGGATGGTCGTGGTGGCAGGATCGCTCGGCGCGCCGGTGCTGCCGGACGAGCTGACGGCGGAGGTGCTCGTGCGGCTGCCCTTCAAGTCCATCCAGCGCTTCCACGCTGTGTGCCGCTCCTGGGCCGCGGTGCTCTCCTCCGGCGAGTTCCTCAGCCTCTACGTCACCTATGGAATAAATAAGATGGAGGAGAGCTGGCGCACGGTTCCTGCCGTGCCTCAAAGTTGCTTGTCTGATTGATTTGATCTATTGATTGATGACAAGTTTCATCTGTCTTTTCCTTTTCTCTTTTGCGAGGAACAAGTGAGCAATTTTATTTCTTAAGCCAACTCGTGGAAAAACTTCTCTCTCTCCGTATCTTGCATATGAGCAAATCGTTTTTGTTAGGTTAACCAGTTTGCGACCAAGCGGCGGCGG